TTTTATGGTGTGGATTTGTGCCTCCACATAGGGATAGTATCTGGTCGCAGCTTCCACCTGCCACCACTGCGTGGCGGTCAAGAGCTGTGTGTTCTGGGCCCACCACAAGCCCTGGCCTCTAGCTGCTGCTTTTCTGAGAAATGCCTGGGCGCTCTGGCCGACCAGCTGAGCTGGAGCACTGGGCGGGGGCGGGGCACTTTCTTTTGCCTGCATGATCCCTGGGGCTTCTCGCTCTTCCCTCGCTGTCTGCTGTCCTGTGGTGCTAGCTTGATGAAGACATCCTGCAACAACTCAGTCACCTCTATGTGGGGGTTTCCCACAGGCTGTGAGGGAACTTGGAGAGCACCAGTGCTCCTGTGGAGGGCTGATCCTTCCCCCTCTCCTCCAAGAGCTGTGCAGTCCAGGGGTCACTGCCATTTGAGAAGGAGAGGAGCTCTCCTTATCTCCTTCCACTTCCTCCAGGGGCTCCAGCACCTCCACCTTCAGATGTATGGCTGCGTGGGTCTCTCAGACATCTTTAGTGTTGTGTTGGTATATGAATCGCCTCTTTGTTGTATCTTATGGGGGAGAGTGTAAGGTTAGAGCTCACTCCACCATGATGCTGATGTCACTCTCCCTGCATCCTTTTAGCATTAACCTATTACTCAGTGAAAGTTTCATCTCAGGCTCAAACAAGATGAGCTAGGCATGCTTCCATGTCCAGGATATTTCTCCAGGGAATCCTGGGTCCTTTTAGTGGCATATGGTAATAGAGACATTATTATTCTTCTTTCCTTAAATCCATTTTGTCTGTTTTCAAGATTGCTGCCTCAGCTTTCACTTGATACATATTTGCCTGGCAAATACTTGTCCACCCTTTTATTTTAAAACTTTATGTTCTATTCCTTTAGAATAGTAAATGCAAAATATGAAATAAGATAGCAGAAATGAGCACCATTAAAGCAATATTAAAATAAATGTAAATGGTTAAAGAATCAATGAAAAGACAAAGATTCTCAGAGTAAAAATATTTTTTAACTCCAAGATCCAAATATGCATTTTCTATAACATGCACATTATTGAAGAGAATATGACCCTGACCATCTATGTCTGTCTTTAGTGGTTCCAAACATGACAGCTTTTCAATATTTCAGTCACTGTTAGTAAAAACCAAGTAGCCAGACTATGCTTAAGCATTCAACACACTGATCTCATTTTATGTTTATCACAATACTGAATGGGAAGGACTAGTATGATTTACTCTGTGTTACTGATAAAGATTGTGAGACCCAGAAAAGTTAAGCAAATTGTTCAATAGTATACAGCTCTTCGATTGCCATTTAATTATGTTAGAGTCTATGTTTTAACCACTGTGCTTCATTCTGTTTCTGATCTCACCAGATTCAGCATCCTTGCCTGCTCAGAACTATAGCACAGTATCTGAATTCATCCTCCTTGGCTTCTCCCCCTTCCCCCAGCATCTCCTGCCTGCCTTCTTCCTGCTGTTCCTGCAGATGTACCTGTTCACACTGCTGGGGAACCTGCTCATCATGGCCACCATCGGGAGCGAGTGCATCCTCCACACACCCATGTACCTCTTCCTGTGCACCCTCTCCATCTCTGAGATTCTGTCACTGTTGCCGTCACCCCTCACATGCTGGTCGACCTGCTCTCCACCCATCACTCCATCACCTTTGTGGCCTGTGTCAGCCAGATGTTCTTCTCCTTCATGTTTGGCTTCACCCATTCCTCCCTGCTCATGATCATGGGCTACAACCGCTATGTGGCCATCTGCCGCTCCCTGCGCTACAATGTGCTCTTTTGTCCCCGTGACTGTGCCCATCTTGTGTCCTGGTCCTATGCTGGTGGCACAGTCATGGGGATGATGGTGACATTGATAGTTTTTCACCTCACCTTCTGTGGGTCTAATGTGATCCATCATTTTCTCTGCCACGTGCTTTCCCTCTTGAAGTTGGCCTGTGGGAATGAGACATCCTCTGTCACCTTGGGTGTGATCCTGGTGTGTGTCACAGCTCTGCTGGGCTGTTTATTCCTCATCTTCCTCTCCTATGTCTTCATCGTGCCTGACATCTTGAGGATCCCCTCAGCTGAGGGCAGGCACAAGACCTTCTCCACATGTGTGTCCCACCACACTGTGGTGGCCGTGCACTATGGTTTTGCCTCCATCATCTGCCTCAAGCCCAAGGGCCCTCCATCTATGGACAGTAACACTCTGATGGCCACCACCTATACAGTCTTCACCCCCTTTCTTAGCCTAATCATCTTCAGCCTCAGGAATAAGGAGCTGAAGAATGCCATAAAAAAACCTTCTGCCGAAAATTCTGTCCCTCAGCTCCTGACAGACAGCGTAGGGGCGAGGAAAGATGATAGAAGAGCTAGGATAACAATGTCTGTCACCACGGGACTGTTGAAAGGATTCAGGTATGTGAAAATACCCACACTCCATAGGAGTTCGAGGCAAACTAGCTATTTGTTTCTGCCCAGTGTGTTTGCCCTCGTCTGGAAGAGGCCTGAGCAATCACGATCTCTTGTTTATGACCCAGCATGATGAACTCTATGCCATTGTCTAAGCCTAAGAGCCTGTTATCTCTCTGTGGGTAGGTGGGGAGCACCACATGAGTGTGCCTGGGCACTGATGCACAGGGTTCTTCTTGAATGGACAAGCCAGGAAGACTCTATTCCCCTCTCCCAAAATAGGAATAAACCAAGATAAAGATAATAATAAATGCCATCAGCATTGGGCCGTTTTTTGTCTCAAGCATTGTGTCTAGAGTTTCATAATTATCATAATTTTAATTATAACAAATGTACAAAAGAAAATGAAGTATTTGTCTTTGAGAAAATGGTTTACTATTTGCAGTTTCTCACTGTCTTTGGAAAGGATAGACTCTAAGGGAGGTTTGTGACGTTGAGCTGAGTAGAGAGGAGGATGTCAGAATGCTAAGCAGAAACAGAGAGAGGCAGAGAGAGAGAGACGGGGTTCAGTGCTTGGGTAGGAATGTAAAGTATGTTAAAAGGATGTTGCTCTCTGATATCTTATGGAAATCCCTCTTGCTCTTTCTCCCTCATAACTTTCATTAAAAGATCAATTTCTCGTTGCCATGTTAAGTTGTATCCATTTGGGGAATGTGTTGAGGGGCAGAGTACTATCTCAAGATGGCACATGAGAGGTCAGAGGCTACCCATGGGGACCCCCTTATGCAGATGAGAAATGTTGGTGGAGGTCACACAACATGAGAATGACGGGAGTCACATGAGCTTTAGGTCTGTCTGACTCCCATGCTGGTGTTGGGAATCCTAAATGACTGAGGATTCAGGAAGGGAGCCCTCTGTGGGATGAAATTGTTAACTCAAAGCTGGGACCAGATATTAGAGTTGGATGCAGAAAATGTTTTATAATAATTAGCCTAAAAATGGCTATCACAATTGAATGCTTGGATTTTGCCAAATATTGTTGTAAGGATTTCATAGCATTGGCTCCTCTATGTCACAAGATAAATTATTGTTTATCTAAATTTGGATATTATTCACGTCTATTATTGTACACATTTTTGAGATGAGGAAAATGCATTCTGACAGGTTAAGCTATGTGTCCAAGGCCACACGGCCATGAAGCGGTGAAGCGGGAATCGATTGTGGTTTGGATAAATCTGGAGTTGGTGATCAGAATTCACGTCTCTCAGGTGCCTGCAGAGAGAAGTCTGGTCTTGCCCACAAGGAGAAGGCTGTAGTTAGAAGCAAGAGACAATTTCAGGACAAGAGTGCAGGCTTGGGTACACACCACTTCTACAGAGCCAGAAAAAACACTGATTCCAGAGGAGCTAATGAGACTCTGTAAGTCTGGCAAAACCAGCTACAGCAGTTTGGGGTTTGACTTTCTTATTTTACTCGTTGTTTTGGTAAGCTGAATAACGTCCACTCACCCTCAATGATGTCCTTGTCCAGAATGTGGGAGTATGTTTTCTTACCCGGCAAAAGGGAGTTTGCAGATGAGATCCAGTTAAGGATCTTGAGATAGGGGGATTATCCTGGATTGTCAGGTAAACCCCATATAATCACAAGCGTCCTTATAAAAGGGAGGCAGGAGGAGTCAGAGCCAGAGAGAAGAAGGAGACGGAACAAAGAAAGAGATGGGAGTGATGCCGGGGCAGGACCATGAGCAAGGATTGCAGGCTGCCCTAGAAGCTGGGAAAGGCAGGAGAAGGATTCTCCCAGAGAGCCTCCAGGAGGAGCCAGCCCTGCTGACACCTTGACTCAAGTTAGAGAGACTGATTTCAGACTTCTGGCATCCAGAAATAGAAGAGAATAAAATTGTGTTTTTTAAGCCTGTGAGTTTATAGTATTTTGCTACAGCAGCCTTAGGAAACTAATAAATTGACATGTGAAGCGGCATCCTGTTATGAACTATTATGTTGGCCTCGTTAGCAAAATTAGTTTCAACCCAGATTCTTAGGCCATTCTTTTTACTGAGAAGACTTGAGGAAGTTACGATGGTTCATGAGGAATGCTGAGTATCCTGGAACTCCATCAACGAAGGTGAAGGTGTCCCAATAACACAGCTGCAAGATTTGCTCACTGGCAGCAAGTCCTTCATGGTTGATGTGAGGATAAATAC